ATATTGGAAGTACCTTAGTGAGGCATCTCAAACTGATAAAGAGGAAGAACCCAGTTCACCTGGAAAACACAACTACAAACATGCTCTGAACTGGTGTTCTGCTAAATTCTAATTTCACCTAATCTGCATTAGGTATTGTAACAGTGCTAACAAAAAGGAACAAAGTAACAATGGCACTAAATAAAACTGTTAGGATTTGAGTAGTAAAAATATATCTGAGAACCACTCTGGAAATAGTAATTATTTTGTGATCTCCTTTTACTGCTATTAGTTTAAGCGTTTCCTTCAAACCAACCACTACTAAAGGGGTTCAGTGCAGCCCTATCGATGGATGGATGTGTTTCATCTTTCACTGTCTGTCTCTGGAGGAAGTGTTTTTCCTTGAGATCTGATTAAAGGACACTGAACAAAGGCAAAGGCAAAAAAGCTGGTTAATTGACAACCAGAAAAATGTATTCCCAGATAACGGCTGGATGAATCAATATGGTAGTTAAGTCATTCTATGCCTATTTCTTAGGCGTCCTAGATATTTCTTTTTATTTATTTATTTTTAAAAATCTGCTGTATCAGACCTGTTATGAAGACTTTCATACTATTGAAACTATACATATGTAACCTCTGGGAAATTGATAATTTCTAATTGTACAAAAAGTAATCTAAGAATATATTTGTTTTGATGCTATTTCTGCTTCCAAAAGTAGAATATTAGCAGCAGTGACAGGTGGGAGAGGATGAGAAGAAACTAAAAATAACTGTCATCAATTTCTCTGAATTTCAGAATTCATGACCACATTTTAGATCACAAATGTGAACCTGTTAAAGATCTTAATTGTTATTGGCTTCCATATCTCATGAGAGAATTCCACTTCGTGATAGTTATTGGAGCCCTTTACTGTTTATCTTTTTCTTGTTGGATCCATAAGAGGAACAATGAAATACAGTAGGAGCTCACTTCCCAATTTAGTATAAGTAGAAGTAAAGTTAGGAAGGAAAGTGTTTGCATGCAAAGGCAAAATTTGAAATATTAATTACTGACTTCTTTTATGGGGAACCCAGTCAATATTTATAAATTAAGAGTTAAATCCTGACCCTCAATTTTAGATAGAGGGTAGTTACTCAAATATTTTAGATATTTTCACTCAATGCAGATGGCTTCATTTGATTTTATTGTCTAAAGGCTCAATTCTGGAATCTTACAGCACATATTCAGAAAAATGCAATCATATCTGTGACTCCTAAAAGAATTAAATTCCCAGAGAAAGACGGATAGGGAAAAAAGAGAAAAGAACATTTATTTTTGTGGAAGAAATGTAGATTTTGTTAGGACAACATTTAGTTGCACAAAATCATTGACATTAAATAATTCAATAGGTTTTATTTTAGCTGTTTATGGCGAGATGAAGTTAGAGATAGAAAAATGTTCTCCAATTTTAATTTGAGATTATGAGACATTTTGAGAGTCAAACTAATTCAGTCAACAAATCTTAATTGAGCTTTCATTCTGTGTCTTGCTTTCATGGTTTAGGATTTTTAACTCATTTGCATATTTTCCAGAAAAAAAAAATACACATCTACTGGATTCACAAGGTTTCTAGACTACTGTCAACCAAGTTCCAAAAACACTTATCTTTAAACATGATTTAATTAATCAAACTATACCAAACCATGGGTATCCCTAAGTGCCTAAGTGAGTTCTAGATATGAAAGGGGACTGCTTAATTCTGACTCAAAACCAGAAGCAAGAAAATTCATTTTGATGTAAGGAAAATAAATTTAGAAAATCATTTCATTTAAAACCTGATGTCCATAAGAAAAGAGTTATTGAACTGGAGCATATACTCAACTGCCCAAATGTATGAAGTGTGAGGGTTTCAAGTGAATCTAAATAAATCTGGAAATAATGTGTAGACGTGAAACACCTCATAATAAAATAAGAAATCATAAACTCGTTAACTGAGAGAAGATAAGGTTAAGTATGATAGAAAAAAGGGCTAGATAATTAGCCAATATAGTGTATTTCTATCAAGCAACAAGACTGGGAGAGAATAACATTTTAGAAACTGAAGCAGTGAATTAGGCTGTATAAGACCAGAATTTTCATCTCACTGTTCACATAGAATTTCAAGCTTAACAATTTATGTCAAAGTTAGGTAAGTGTCACCACTATCCATTGTTGTGCAGGCAGTGCCCACTGAGCCTCCAAAAGCTAGTAATGTTTCTGATCTTAATTCATATTGTTCTTGAGAAATGGGAAGCTGTGGAGGTAGCTTCCATTTGATACAGAAGAAGGCCTGATAATCCTAAAGTGGTAGCCCTCACCAGTGTTAATCTGGTCCTTCAGGCAAACCTCTTGTCTCTTCATCAATAGAGATACTTGTCTCCTGTATTAAAAATGCTTCTGATGTATTTCTGTGTGTGTCCAAATCACTCACCAGGAATATGTTATAGAAAAAAACAAATTTAGGAAACAAAAGTGCTCATTTTTTCAAATGTGATAAATTGAATTATCCCAGGCAGAAGGGATTAATAAATTTATTTGAGCTACGTGTTAACTCTTTCAGGGTTCCCCACTTAATATATTTCCTCCTGTGCTCCCTTGCAGAATTGAACAGATTATTATTTTTTTTTAAAGAGAGAGGTGTGTGTGTGTGTGTGTGTGTGAGAGAGAGAGAGAGAGAGAGAGAATTTTTTAATATTTATTTTTTAGTTTTCAGTGGACGCAACATCTTTATTTTATTTATATGTGGTGCTGAGGATCGAACCCAGCGCCCCATGCGTGCCAGGCGAGCGCATTACCACTTGAGCCACATCCCCAGCCCTCAACAGATTATTTTAAAAATTGTTTCCCTCTCCCCAACTGCCCCATGTTCCTTAAGGAATGCTGGCATTGAATTTTTGTTCTCTGCATTTCAATTAGCTGGAACACATGCACAGCCACTAAAAATCAAATGAACTTAGTCTGGGACCAATCAAGTTTGGGCCTATTCAAGCTCAATATCAAATAGTATTATGTACACACAACCTGAGGAATGTACAACTTGTGAACCTGAGATCTGGAAAATCTCTCTCTCTCTGATGACATGGGTCATGTGGAGATGACCTTATGGGGGCGGTTCTTTGGAGAAGATGGTGGTAATATTTCAGAATAGCAAAGTTTGAATTGTTATGGCTTATATTCTAAAGATGGGATAAACATTGCTGCTTATACACATATTACTGATAAGAAAGGGAGAAAATCAGAGAAAGGATACAAACAGAGAATTCTAATTAAAGTCTAAGTATCTTCAACGATTGGTTAGCAAGTCAGTTCATTTTGCGTATGTTTTGAGAAAAATGTTGGATTCATATCTGAGTCCTTACCATCTAGCACATGCCTAACAGACACAGCTAAGTTTCAAAAAATATTTGTTGAACTGAACTATGTTGGAGAGGTAATTTATATGGCAAAATTCTTTATTTTATTTTCTGACAGCTCATTCATGAAAGTATTGGAATAGGAAGGACTCTAATCTGGAGATATATTGTATCCTGCCTACTGTTCAGAAATATTTATTGAATGAATAGATGAATTAATTTTCGAACAAAATTTTGGTGTCATGATCTCATATGGATTGGATATATCTGCCCTTTAGAGTTAAAAACCTTAGTTGTCACATAGAGATTATTACCCAATAACCTGAAAAACTCTAACAAGGTCACATTTGTCTTCCCTCCATACAGCTAAGGAACAAATTACTCCAGTATGGTAAGGCCAATGTATTATTGGTATGTCCCTGGGTAATACTAAGGATAAAACCCACAGAACTTCCTGTATCCAAAGCAACTTGCAAGAAACCAAGCAGTTAGGCTTCAACAAAATTTAAAATCAATAATTTTGGGGTAAGGAATATAAGATTTTTATTTTTGACATATTACTTTTCATGAAACTTAAATTTCTCTAGAATTAGCAAAAAAAAATAATAATGACTTGCCTTTTCTTGAAGAGAAGGAAAATAAAATTAAAGCAACCCAAAGAATCAATGGAAAATTTTATTTCTTTCTTTTAGCTTTTGCAGAAATAAGATCCTGATCCAACTCAGGATTTTAATTTTATTAAACATACACAGAAATTCGATGATATCTGTTCTCTATTATATACATATAAATGTTTAATTTAGAGTAAGTCTCAAAACAGACGATTTGGGAAAGTTGATAGGAAATAATTAGGGTCTGCAGTTGCCTATTGGACACTATATCATATATATATCACTGTAAAATAAGACCATAAAACATCAAAATGTATCTGGGTCCAAATGAGGTACACATTAAAGCTTCTAAAATTACCAAAGTCTACTCCACTTCGGCTTGGAAGATACATTTTGAAGCATCACAGCTGTTGACATGGCATGATTCAGTACTAATTTTGTACTTACTATACTATATTGCTGTACAAGTTCTCTAGACATATAATGAACAAAATTAGTATAAATTTAATACCATGTTAACTGCTGTTGAAATCCCATGGAAAAAAATGCTTGCTTTACTTTTGACTTATTTATTTTTGCTACTTAAGCTCAGAAGAATTCATGAAGTTTAAGTGATATTTGTCAATCTTCCATGGCTCCACTTTGAGTTCAGACTTCTTTGATCTCATTCCAATATGGAATTCCTCATGCTCTTACTCCCTGTCAATTTCATAGCTGCACACTGGCTGCCATATATTTCCTGTCCCAGTGGTTAATTTGTGCATCTGACAACCGAAGTATTGTCAACTACCATGGAATTTATCTTTATCTATCAATGGACTTTGAATTTCTCTGGGATCCTTCCATGGGATGTGATGCTTTTGTTTATACATGAATATTTATATATGCATGTTTATACATATATAGATATAGAAAATACACACATTAACACACTATAATATATTTAAAACACATGTATAATCACATATATGTATGTATTATTTTTTTTTTGCAAATGAAGAAGAAAGCAAGCAAAACAAGACTGACCTGACCTACCTGTACTCGGCTCACATTCAACGAAGTCTTCATCATCACTTGAACATTCAGCAGATGAAACAAGATCATCTGAGGTTGGCTGCTCATGTTAAAGGGCAAATGATGGGGTGGGAGAAAAGAGAGAGAAGAGAGAAGAAAAATAAGAAAATCCATGAAGATATCAAAGATTTGCTATAGTGTCCCACCTCCCATCATTACTGCTGTTTCTTTCCTCTAAAGAGGGCCATGCTGCAGGATGGAGAATTTTTAACTTCTCCATAGTCCAGACAGTTTGTGTGGCTCCAGAAGACTCAGGTCTGTCCCTTCTCTGTAAATCACATCATGCATCCTGACTCTAATTTCAAAGGTGAGCATCTGGACAGGACAAGGACTGTTGCAAAAGATGGGCACTAGAAGAATCAATCCAACACAGACATGCACTGTGACTCCAGGAGGGTCTCAGTGCATATGGTGTGCAGTCTCCAGTGCATGATTTGGTGGTTGTGAATCTATAGACGGGCATAATTAATGAACGCTGTGGAATGCAGTCTGTTCAGGAGTAGCATAATGGCTTCTCTCACTAGCAGCAATTCTTCCACATAATTGCTGCAATTAGCTGAATTAGTAATGTGGACCAGCAGAGTGATACAGCACGACAGCCCCTGGACTCAGGTAAGACTGCTCCAAAGAGAGCAGAACAAATTTAGACTCCAAGAATCATAGTTCAACTGGAGACCCTTCTCCTTTTTTTTTTTTTTTAAATTTCCCTGTTGAATTCTGCAGAAACTCTCTAATGCCAGGGAATCTTTAATCTGTTATAGGAACCATAGAGGACATTGGGTATAGAAAGTAAGAAGGGCCCTTCCCATACAGAAGGTGAGAAGACTGCTTTCTGTACCTGGTACATATTAGATGCACACACAAAAAAAATAGTGTTGAATGAATGAATGACCTACAAATCTTTTGCAAAAAATAAACTTTTGGCTTACTATGTGTAAGAGTACTGAGAAGACTGTAGTGTAGGTATTCAATAAAAGATCAGTTTTTTTCTTTCTTCATGTTAATAATATTGGTTTTCTGAGTATTATTTCCAGTCTACTATATTCTGGATTCATATTCCAGAGGAATAGTTAATAAAGAAACTGCTTTGTCTCTGTCTGTCTGTCTGTCTATCTATCTATCTATTTTTTGGTACTAGGGATTGAACCCAGGATTGCTAAACCATTGAGCCAGTATCCCCAGTCCTTTTTTATATTTTATTTAGAGATGGGGGTCTCACTGAGTTGCTTAGGGCCTAAGTTTGCTAAGGCTGGCTTTGAATTTGTGATCCTCCTGTATCAGTTTCCTGAGCCACTGGGATTACAGGCATGTGCCACCACACCTGGTCTCTCCTTGACTATTGAGCAATTACTATAAGCCAATTACTATAAGCCAATTGCATGCTTGACTTGTATCTTTGCTTATCAGTTCCAGCTATTATTAATTAATTAGACTCAATTCCTAAAACCATCCTTTGGGACAGAATGAGTGAATGGAAGTCACACAGGTTACCTGAGTTGCTGAAGGACTTTCAGCCAGTGAGAAACATAGAGGGGATTTAGCAGGAACATCTTGGTTAACTTGTGTATTTGTGACCCACGAGAGTCTTATTTGTACCTCATCTTATATGATATTATGGACTGAATTATGTTCATATGTTGAAATCCTAACCCACTAGTACCTCAAAATGTGACAGTATTGGAGACAGGGCTTCATAGAGGTAATTAGCTTAAAATGAATTCATTAGGATGAGCCCTAATCCAATATGATTGGTGTACCTAAAAAAAAAGACACAGACTTACACAGGGGTGAGACCACGTGAACACACAGGGAACAGAGGGCCATCTATTAGCAGAGGAGAGAGGCCTCACCAAAAGACAAGGGTTGTAACACCTTCCTTTCTGACTTTTAGTCTCTGGAACTGGGAGGAAATATATTTCTGCTGATTAAACCACACAGTCTACAGCACTTCGTTATGGCAGCCCTAGCAGGTGAATGCAGGTGACAACTCATATGCTTAATATTTCCAGAAAACATCCTCTTTTATATAGATATGCTAGCTGTAGGATTACTGGGCACAGGAAAGAATGGCAGAGAAACCATGTTAGGTAATTTATTTCATCTCACTGGCAGTAGTGGAGAGGTCCCCTAAACTACTTTATTAATCTTTATTCTACATCTGACAGGGATATACCTCACACCCTGCTCCTCCTTAAGCTTAGCAGGAAAAAAAAAATCTTTATTTTCTTTTTCAATTAGACACCTCTGAATTGTATGTTTCAGATCTGGCAGCTGCAGCTGGTAGTCATATTCTGGGGAATAGTTATTTGTGTTGGAGAAAGGACAAGCACCCCTTGATGCTTTTTACTGTGTGGGGACCCTATGCAGCTCTACTTCCAGTTACTTAGGGAAAGTAAGTGATAAGGAAATAAATGGAAACTGTACAAATAAAGAATGCAATTTTGCCGGGCGTGGTGGCACACACTGGTAATCTCAACAGCTTGGGAGGCTGATACAGGAGGATCCCTAGTTCAAAGCCAGCCTCAGCAATGGCAAAGCACTAAGCAATGTGGTGAGACCCTGTCTCTAAATAAAATACAAAATAGGGCTGGGGATGTGGCTCAGTGGTTGTGTGCTACTGAGTTCAATCTCTGGTACCAAAGGAAAAAAAAAAAAGCAATTATAAGAGGCAAACACCACTTTGGAAGGGCTACAATCATCAAGAGTTTTAAAGCATGCTCCTCCACGGCAGTAAAAATTAGTTTGGGCTGGGGTCCAGATCTTAATGCAATGATTCGTGACCCTCCCAAAGACCAAGCTGCATAACTAAATATATAAATTATCTTGGGTATTAACAGTTTATGGAAAAAGAACAATTAGGAAAAAAAGATTCTGAGAAAATTCATGGGGGTGGGTCATTAAAAAGATGTTGAGAGTACACTTACAAAATATACTCAACTGGAAATTAATTGTTAGTGAGTTGACTAGAAGGACCTTGCAGAGTGGCCCTTGTCCGGCTTTGGCCCCTAGTTTTGAGAAGAAACTGGAAAGTTGGTAACAATCAATGAACTCCATTCAGGAACTAAAGGTCAGACAATAATGTTTTAAAAGTCCATTGAGCAAATGTATGGCAACAATGTGTGACTCCAGTGGAAACCACATCATACATTTACATCATATTACTGGAGCTTTGACTCAATCCTAAGGGAGACATCTTCATTGTTATGAAATAGAATATAAAATGCAAATGTATTTTCAGGAAAAGCACTCGACTCCAAGAATGAAAGAAGATATATTATTTTTCTCTTAGTGTCTTTCAGCCTTCTCTGTATTTCACAAGTTTCTCCTCCTGTGGTTGGGGTGACACTGTTGATGGCCCCACTCTCCTATTCTCCAATCCCTTCCCCACATTCAGTTCCACCTCGAGGATGAGCTCCTAAATTCCCCTGCAGACCTCAAACCTTCCGACTCTCATTCCCTCATGCTCAGCTTCTAAGAGGTCTGTTTTCTGCTAATCTTCTGTATGAATATGTATGATTATAATCTTCCTCCCAGGCAACAGAACTCAATGTTACCAGTAGTTCCTATAAATGGTGACTAGATTCAAAGAATCTAGGTGGCAGTGTAGCCAAATGTGTTAAGAGCAGGTCTGTCTCTAGGCAGAGTGCTTCTACTTACAACCAGAAAGTGATGGGGTGAGGGATGAGTTCCTTCCCTAAATAACTAAATCAATCAGCCTATCAGTCAATCAATCAGTCATTCTAAGTGTGGTGCCACTCCTAAATTGCTAAATTTTGTTTCTGCCCATGTACTCCAACTTTTATGATTTATCCCCATTATTAGAACTGTCCATTGCTGATGCTCCATTTCTGATTGCCCTTGCCCTAAGGAGGGATAAAGACATGGTCTATTTCCAATGGCACTGGACCTAGCCAATTTGTGTGGTCCTAGATGATTCAGCCCCTTCCTTTCTGCCCTTTAAACCTCACCATCACCATTCAGTCACAGCTAACTGAAACTCCCAAAGTAACTGCAAACATCCCAATCCCTCCTTGCCCAGGGCAGGAAGCAATGTTTTCTTCAAGAACCTGGCATCCAACATTTGCCATGCCTGTGTCATTTCAGTAGAACTTTCTCTGCCAGGAGTATCAGGCATAATTCAGAAAAGGACTCATTCAGGATGCTCATATACAAATTTTCTTTTTCTCTGATTCTGTTCCTGACATCCAGACATCTAGTCAAAAATTATGAGCCAAGGCTTTTAGATGAGGTGAACAGCTTAGAATCATATCCTAAGTAATAGCAATTTGAATTGATTGAAAGTTACTCTTACTCCTGGAAAACCCAGGGCTTTTAATTTTTTAAAGCTCCCCCCACCCTGTGTTCTTCCACAGATATAAGCAAATGCAGGGTCGAATGCTGATTCTTGAAAGAAAAGGTCCCTCTTGGATGACTGATTCCCATAACCACTTTTAGCAAGCTCCATAGTCGCGTATTTACACAGAATCAGAATAGTATTGTTAAGAGTAGAACAGAACTATCACTTTTTTTTTCTTTTTGCCTTTAAATAAAATTCATTAGCCTCTTTGGATATGTTGGGGGGGTGCATTTTTCCATAAACACAACCATTTTCAACAATTATGTTTAATTCCTTAAGAAAAGTAGTTGGTACTCCTATGGAGAAATGGATGCAGGAACTATAAGGAATCATGCCTATTAGCAACATTAACACCTGCCACATTGAGGCTTTGTGTTAAGCACTTCACACATTAATCCTTACAGTACTCACAAGAGCCAAGAGTGTAGACATTTCCAGTGATCTCTGTTATTTTAACCACCTACCACCAGGTCCCTTCAAGTAATGGTGTTGCTTTAGGAAACATTTCTGTTCATGTGGTTATGATGGGGATGTCCATGGTGGAAACTTCCATATCATCTGCTGCACATTTTTTCCCCTCATGATGACTATCTGAAGTTCTCACAATTCCCAGAAGCTAAGTTTACAGTATTTACACAATAGTTTTCCATATGTTAAATACCAATAGCATTTATAATGTCATT